CTTTCTAAATAATATTTTTTAATTATTATTGAATCTGTATTTACTTGTTGTTATCAATATGTTATTTTTAGAATTATCTAAAACAGGAATATAAAATTTTTGGTTTTCCCTTTTTCAATTTTAGATAAAACCTCATTGACTAAACACACAAATGAATCATCAATTTCCTATATTAAAAAAAATAAGAAGGATTATGAATGAAAATGGATCTAAGTAGAAGCACAATGATTTTAACTCTAAGTAAAGAGTTAATTAATTTACATAAATTCAGTTTCTCTCACAATTTCCCATCTACTATTTCTATTTTTTAATTCTTTCAATTTATTACATTTATCTTCCAATTTTCAATATGGATGTTTGCGTACAGAATAATATTCAGAAACTAAAGGATTATATTTATTGCCCTTTAAGGTTCTAACAGCAACAGGTGATATACTTTTATCACATGTAACTTAAAATGATGGTATATTGAAGAAAGATTAATCGATTTAAAGAATAGGATAACGTGTTTGCATATATTTATAATATTAATCATGACTTTGGTTATTCATTTAATGTTTCCAACAATGCTAAATTTAATATTATAAGTTTACAATTAACAATTTAGGTATATGTTTAAGCAGCAATAGAGTCAGGAGCAGTTTCATAAATGCATTTACCTTTTTCAGCTGATAATAATACTTTTGGTTCAAGTGGTATTTTGCCAAGAAGTTGTAGGTTATATTATTTACATAATTATAAACCTCCTCCTGTCGTTGGATGAAATATATCAGTATGATGAGAACAATTAGGACATACAAAACCACTCATATTTTCAACAACTCCAAGAATGTTTGTTTTAGTTTTAATACAAAAACTAATCTCTTTTCTTACATCAGATAATGAAACTTCTTAAGGAGTTGTAACAATAACTGCTCCATCATTAGGAGTGAGATTTAGGTATTATACAATGGAGATATGTTCATCTGAAGTTCCAGGAGGAGCTAATATAAATGATTTTAGAAATTACTATCAATAATTAAGAAATCTAATTCTCCCCAGGCAACATCTGTTAAAAATTATTTAATAAGTCCATTCTTTCTTGGTCCTCTCCAAATAATAGCTTCATCTTTGTTATCAATCAAAAATCCAATAGACATCACTCCCAAGTTTTCATTTATATAAATAGGTTGCCAACCATTGTTACTAGAATGAACTTCACTTGTTTCCAAACCCATCATCCTTGGTATACTTGGTCCGCATATATCAATATCTAATAAACCTACATCAAATCCTTTGGATGCAAGAATATGAGCCAATTATGAAGATACCGTACTCTTACCTACTCCTCCTTTTCCTGATAATACTAGTATTTTATGTTTCACTTATTTTAAGTTTGCTATTATTTCAGAATTATCTAAGAATATATATATGCTTATTACCTAATACTTATTTTCCACCACCAGATGAGCAAAGTTATTGATTTGGACAACCAGCACATGCATCACTTTTCCCCGCTTAATCAGAATTAGCTCCTGGACAATGTTCATTTGCATTTTAAGGAATATTTTAATTGTTTTGCATTTACAATATTTTAAATAAATTGATGGGATTTAAAAGAATAAAAATAAAATTTATTAAAAAATGGCTGAGTATCAACCTTAAGGAATAGTTCAATAACCTGTTTTATTTGGAGCCCCTTAAACAGTAACAGGTTAGCCACAATTCGTGAGACCTATAGTTCTAGAGAATTCGACTTTATAACAATAATTTGTAACAAATTAGAATTTGGGTCAAAGTGGATTCTATTAAGGAGGTTAAGCGATTCTTAATCAACCAATTTTAGGTGCATCAGCAATCAGTTCAAATATAGTGTCTGTAAAAAATAGTATAAAGATAGACTGGACAAGCAGTTAAAGGAGAATCAAGAATTGAGTATATTCCTTATGAAAAGACAATTATGGAATATGAGGAAGTAAGAAGATAAGTTTAGGTGCCAATAACAAGATAAATAACAGAATATTAAGCTATATAATATGAAACAGAATATATTCCTCAGGTGATCTAAGAAAAAGTGATTGAATATGTGCCAGTAGAGAAAGTAGCAGAAAGAGTCTAATATTAAACATTGACCAGATAAAATGTTTTATAAGTAAATTCTTTTATAAAATAGTTTAGAATACTGTTCAATAAGTTTAATAAACATAAGTTCAACCAATAGTGACAACTTAAACATTTTAAACAACAACTCCAGTTGTATAAACTGTTTAATAACCAATTGTTACTTAAGTGAGTTAACCAATAGTGTAATAATAGGTAATTTAAAATGTTCCTTAAACTTATTATTAAACCTATTAATAACCTGTTACAACATAATATGTTTAATAACCTTTAACTGTTCCTGTTTAATAGACAGCTTAAGTTTATCAAACATAATCGAGCCCAAGAATTAGATAAACTTCATAAATAGTTTAAGCTGCTGCTCCTATTACTACAACTTAAGCTTACGTGTAACCACCTGTTCTTTACTAAGCATCTCAAACTAGAGTTGGTGCTCCTGTCATTTAAACTTAAATGTAATAATTACCACTAGGTTATCAACCATAAACTTAATAAGTACTGACTTATTAAGGATAAACTGTATAATAAAATCAACCGAAAATAACTAATTAAACTATTTAAACTAATTAGCCTAATTAAGTATCATCTAAAACTCCAAAAGTTAGTCAACCACCTTAATAAGCTTCAGTAAGCTAAGTTCCACCAACCTTGGTATTTAATATTTTTTATTTTTATCATAGTAATAATAGCCATAATAGTAAATATCATAATAACAATAAAATACCACCAATTAGCAATAATAAAAATAGGATAAAGGCTTTTTAGCAAAATTATTCGATTGAAATTATATTAATAGTGCATTATAAAATAAATATAAAAATTTTTAATTCATGGCAAAATCATAAAGATCAAAAGTTATGCGTAGATGGAGATCACTTAAAAGAGAACATTTATAAAATGTTAAAGTGAATACAGATCTTCATGATTTAAATTAAAAATTAGAGGCAACCATACAAAATGTATATTTCAATATATATCTACACACTTTAGAGATTTTAAAGACCTACTCAACCAAAAAATATGTTTCTTCATCCAAATGATCCGACTGCCTAAATACCAAAATTGAAACCATAACCTATTGTTGATTTTCGAAGTTAATCTTTACCATACACTGCTACTTAATATGTTGGTGCAAGAAGAAAACCTATATAAGAAGTTGTTTTTAAACCAGAACCTGAAGTCGAAGAAGAAATTGAAATGAATGATTAACCAATAAATGAATAATAATATGATGAAGCAGATGATTTAATTAATGCAATGGAAGGAGTTAGAGTAAAATCAAAAAGAGAAATTAAAAGAGAAAATAAAGCTAAAGCTATGGAAGAGATTATACCATTAACTAAAAATAAATAAATAAAAAAAAATAGAAGAAAGGAACAACCAACAAGAAAATCAAAAAAATTAATTACCTTTTGATTTATGTTTATATAAATATATTTATATACAATCACAAATGCCTGCCTTCATTCCAATAATTAGTAGTATTATCTTAAAATATTTACAAGTACATGATTCAATTCATGTGGAGACTATGATATATAAAACAATTTACTTTTATTATAATATAATATCTAAATGGGAAATCCTCTAAATAATTTCTTATCTCTATCTTCTATTTATCATTGACAGTTACATAATGAGTAGACTTGATATTTGTTATTGATTAATCTAATTTATATATTAATATTATACCTTCTCTATCTAGAATAATAAATACATAGAATATTTGTAGTTCTTCAGCTTCTCTCACTAGAGGTCTCACCATCTTCTTGTTAAACTTACCATCGGACATAATAAAACAAATTTATTATGCATTAGAAACTCTAATGTTTTTAAATTTATCTATTGATTCTCTCATAAATCTCATTAAAGATAGTTCACTACTTTGTTTAGATTCAAATTCAAAATTAAATTAACCTAAAATGAGAGGACAATCTAATTAAGTAAATGGCTTAGAAAAATCATGTAATAGTCTCATTCCTTCATGAATACTAGCTATACCTATTTATCCTGCTTCCATTTTAGATAAAGCTAAGGATAAAGATGTTAAAGACTAAAGTGATAAATAACCTACTTAATTTTCACTCATGCTTAATGAATCATCCAAAGCTAAAAGTATTTAAAAAGTTCTTTTTTATGGTTAGGTTCTCCTCAACCATATTTTATCTTTTCTATAATTACTAGCTATATAAGGTATTATTTTTTTCATATTTAATCTTTTTCCTGTTTTATAATCTCCTTTTAAAGCAGAAACTTAAGTAGCAATTAAAATAGACTTCAGTTCTTCACAAAGATGAATAGAACTTTCAAGAACTTCCTATTATAATTTAGGCCACATTTCTAATCCTTTTTATAAATTAGTGTCTACATTTACATCATATCCCAATCTAAAATATTATTTGATATATTCTTCAATTGATATATCACTTATATTTTTATTTTCAATTTCTATAGGTTAAGGTATTATAAATTCTTTGTTACTCTAATTTTTATTTTCGTTTTCATTATTTGATTTTTCTTATTCATTATTTATATCTTCTTTTTCTTCATCCATATTTTTACCTTATCCTTTTTCTTTATTCTATTCTCCTTCTCTTTTCATTTCTTAAGTTTCATTTTATTAAAATTTAGTTGGTAAATTAGTTATATTATCTCTTTTATGTTATATTTAATCTTTTGATATTTTATAATCATTATCTTATAATCCATCTTCATTTTCATTTTCTTCTTAATCACTATCATGAACATTTAGATCCTTTTTGAAATTATCCATATCTTCTTTTGTTAAGTGTTATTCTAATGCATCAAATAACTTTTTGATTATTTCTAACTTTGAATCTCCACCTTTTTCTCCTTATTCTTTTTATTTTTAATTCTTATTATCTTTTTCTTATTATTTTTTATCTTAATCTTCATTATTTTGATTACCTTCTTCTCCTTATTATCCTTAATCTTATGCTTATTCATTTAATTAATCTTCAATATCTTTTTAATTAGTGAATAATTAATTTTAATTTTGATCTTCTTATTCCATATTATGATTATCTTATTTTTCTAATTCTTCAGGTTATTTTTACATAATATCTTCATTAATATCTTATTTTTCAGGTTCTTATTCCATATTAGGTTCATCAAATTTAATATCTTCTTCTATAGGCATTTGATCTGGATTCTAATTTGATTCTTCATTCATACTTATATTATCTTAATTTTATGAATTATTATTATTATTTTCTAATTCTTCAATATTTTCTTCATCCATAGATTCTAATTATTCTCCACCTTTTCCTGCATAATCTTTTAGATCTTCTCCTGATTCTTACATTGATTCTTCATTATCATCTTCTCCATCTTATTCTTCTTATTCCATCTAACTATTTAAATCATGACTATCTTCATTTAAATCTTTCATATTTCTTTTTTAATTATTTTACTTTTATTCTCTTTCTTCTTTTGCTTATATTTTTTTATCATCTTTTTCTTCATCAGCATTAAATTCTATATCTGATTTCTTTCTATTTGATTTTTATTCATCTTATTCATCCTCATCTTCTTCACTTCCTTAATATTATTTCATATCTTCATTATCTTCATTTACTGATGAAAAACCTTCATCCATTGAATTCTTTTCTTATTCTTATTCTTATTCTTCATTCTCTTCATCTTTATTTTATTCTTCATTTTAACCATCAAAATCATTCTTCATATCAAAAGCATCTTCATTTTTATCTTTTTCTTTATCTTATTCTTATTCTTCTTCTTCAGGTTATTATTATTATTATTATTATTTTTATTCTCCTAATAATTATTCTTCATATTCAATTTCTTTTGTAACATTCTATTCTCCCTTTCCTTCTCCAATACCTGTTCCTGCTTAAAAATTTTCTGCATTTTCTTCTCCATTTTCATCCTAATCTTCTTCTTTTTAACAAAATCCTTAAACTATTATATTACATAGTATACTCGTCATAAAATATAAAAATTTACAACTATATTCTAAATTCTTTATTATTAAATTTAATTTCTATTAATCAATTCCATGTTTATTGAATGAATTTAATATTTTAATTTCTCCAGCTAATAAATTTTCTTCTTATTCAAGATTCTTTATATATTTTGCATATACTATTTATATCTTTTCTTAATTTATTTGTTATTTTTCTTAATTCTCTATATTCTAATTTATAGAATTAATCTTTAATGATGATAAATAATCATATAATTATTTTAAAATGTGGTATAAACTTTCATATTTAACATTATAATTACGAAACTTTGATTCAATTAAAGCAAGTAATAATGCTAAAGATTATTCATCTTATTTTATATTAAAATCATTTAATTATTCATAAATATCAGTTTCTTTAAAACAATTTAAATAATCTTATGGAACAATTTAAATTTTCTTTATAATTGTCTCATTTTCATTTTTAATTAATGGTCTAATTAATTTAAATTAATGATTCAACTTTCTAATATAATCTAATATTAGAGAAAGTGATTTAGTTGAATATTCTGCAGGTACAAATTTCCCTATTTATAAAACTGATTATTCCATAACAGATATTGCTTTATAGTAATAAAATGAAGCTTTTGAAATTAAAGGATGAGCTTCATTTTATAATAAATGATTATCTTCTTTATATGTTTAATGCATTCTTAATCCCAATAATGTACTTATATATTCCTAAAAGTTTTTTAAAGCAGCTAATTTTGAATTAGATTTTTAATCTTTTAAATTCTTAACTCTCTCTAAACTTTGTTCAATTATATTTTAAAGCAACTAATAGAATGATTTAGATATTTAAGGCTTTTATTAAAATTATTTAGATTTTAATAAGAATCCTTCTATACAATCAGTAAATTCATCTTATAATTGAGTTTTAATAACAAGTTTTTACAATTTTTCATTCAAATAAGATCTAAATCTACCTTAAACTTTAATTAATTTTCCATGCATTTTATGTGATGTTTATTATACAATTATATAATTTTTGGATTCCCAACTTACTAATTTACGATATTCAGCTACTTCCTTAATATATCCTTAAACAGTTGATCCTAACTATTAATTATATGTATCTACAAATATTGAACTTTATTCAATATGTTAAGATATTAATTATCTCTATGTTTAATTTACATATTAAAGTATTTATCTAAGCATAATTATTCTTATTTCAAATACTCCTATATCACATTCATTTAAATATGTCTTAAGTGAGTTATGTGATAAATCTCTTAACAATTTAAATAATATAATACTTTCAACACACCAAAGTTCTTAAATCTTATTAGCTAATATGTATTTCCATCCATCTCTTTCAATTTTTCTCCATTTTATAACAATATTCTGTAATTCAAATCCATATAATTTATATTCTTTTGGAACTGTTTTATCCCACAATTCTATTTTCTCTAAAAGTAATTCAATTCCAGTTATCAGCTTTATTAAAGGAGTTGAATAAGCATTCTATTTTAATAAATGAACTATAAATGTTCCCATACTTTAGATTACTTCATTTTCTGCAAATAAATCATCCTCTTATATTTACTTTATTTTTATCAAAATATTCATTAATAAATCAGTTGCTTTAACTATTTCATCTTAATCAGTTTATTTATATACATTTTATAATTTATTGAATTAAAACTTATATAAGAATGCATCTATATGTATTTCATCAGAAATTTACAAAGTTGGCTAAATAAATCGTCCAAACATTTTTGTTATAATTAAAGGATTCTTATTTAAACATTCTAATTCCAAAATATATTCTAAAAATTCTTTACTTAAAATATCTAATTAACTTAATTCTTCTCTTACATTATGTTTCAATTCTTCAGTTGTTACTTTTCCAACTTATTCTAATTCTTCTCTATATTAATTTAACTCTTTTTTTAATTATTATTCTAATTACTTCTATTCATTCTCTACAGTGTTATCATTATACTATTCTACAACTAATCCTTTAATTTTTCTACTTAATAAAATATACATTTTAGCATCATCCATTTTAAAGACATCTCTCTCTTCTTGACTAATTAATTATTAATCTGAAAATGTAATAAAACTTTATCCCTTTAATCTTTATAATTAATATTTAAATCCACTATTTATTAGATTGGCAGATGGTTCTATTGGAAATTCAATAAACATTAAAGATTCATAAATTGGTTAAAGAAAATCTTTAAAACCATAATAATATTTATCATAAGATTAAACAATCCAAGCCTCAATATAAGATTTATTCATATTTTTGCTTATTGTTTGTAAAGCTTATTTTAAATCTTAAATAAATTGCATAGTAGCTTCTAAATTAGATTAATTAGAATCTCTTATAAATAATCTTTCTTAGATTAATTCAACTTTCTGTTTAGTTGATTATAATAATTCATTTAATTGCTAGTTTTTTTCTTAATAATACCCTTTAAGAAGATATTATGAATCAAAATAGGCATTTTATGCTTACTCTAATTGTTCTAAATAAAGTTTTAAAATTATTAATTGTATTTCATTTGAAGACAATTTCATAAGATCATCATCAGTAAGGTCAATAATCTTTTAGAAGAAATCTATTGTAATTGTTTTTTCAATAGTTTTATTATAAAAGATATGTTATGATCTTGAAAATTAAAATCGATTTAATAATTATTTATAGAAAGGAAGCTCAAATAATTAGGCTTATAAATATCCTTATAATAAAATTTATTAGGTCTAATTCAAATCTACTTTAGAATGTCTATTCTTTAAATATTAAATATAAGTTTAGATTTCATCACTTCCACAAATCTTTAATGGATTAGAATAGACTTTTGGATCAATCTACAAATAATCAACATAAAGTTAAACATATTTTAAAACAAAATTAAGATCCTAATGTATTAAATCAGTTTTCTAATAATTAAAGAGTGTTTGCAATTAATAAATATCGATATTTAATTTATTTTCAAAATTAACTTCTTTATTTAAGTATAATCTATAATGATTCAAAATACTAAGTTTATCAGAAATTAGAGGAAATTCATTAAAATGAATAGGAACTTAGGTTTTTAATAAACTGGTTACCCAAGAATCAATTGCTGGTAAAGGTTTACTTTATAAACATTATTTAAGCAATAAAACAAACTCTTTAAGATTTTCTGATTCTCTTAATTATTCACTCAATAAATTTATTTTAGTTTTTAATAAAATAATTTCTTCTGTTATTTTTGGCATTCTCTTATCAAAAATGATATAATCATATATTTCTTATTTATTCCAATCCTCTATTGTCTTAATCATTTTATCTTATAAATCATTGTCTTACTAAAAATCTAATTTATTTTATCTAAGCATAAATTCATATAATTTAACATCATTATAATTTATATTTTATTGTTAAAGAATGGTAACTAATTATTAAAGTAATTTTAATTTAACAATAGATTAAATTAAACCTTCAATTGTAGTACCTAATTCTGGTATAATAATATTAGATGATTCTTTCAGTTTAAATGAGTTTTCCTTGAAAGCTTAAAGATTTTAAGATAAAATAACATGAAATTGTTATTGAAGTATTGATTATTCACAATAACTAAAATATTCTAAATAAATATTATTATGTTCTCTAATTATTCTCTTAATTAAAGATTAATTGTGTATTTAATTAATATTGATAGGGTTCTCATTTTATTATATACAATCTTTAATTTCAATAATTGGATTATCAATTTTGAATAGAATATTAAAATCAATAAGGCTCTATTAAAGATTTGAACTTTATATATTATCTTAATTTAGAAAAGTTTAATTGCATAATAATTAAATTTCATACTGGCTCATCACACCTTATGTTAATAGTATAGATTCAATTGATATTCGTAATTTTTATAATAATCTTTTAATTTAAATTTATGGGGAAAGATTATTGTATTTTGAAAAGTATTATAAAATAATTTCACGATGATCATACAATTCTTCAAAATCTTAATAAATAATACTTTTTATATCTTATTAATATGACAATTAAAATTAAAGAGTATTATTCATTTATAAATATAATTTAACACTATGATGTAAATTTAGTTATTCTGTAGTAATAAAAATTTTAAATTTATTATTAATAGGAATATCTATTCCAAATAATGTAAAATGATCATCTTCTATAAATTAGTTCAATTTAGGAAATAATTCTCTACTTGGTGAATCTATTAAAACCCATTCTCCATTAATAGCAGCTTCAACTAATCTACTAAATTACCATTTAAACAATGAATCTTAATCTCCTTATACATATTAACCTAATAATTCCATTGAATCCGTTTATTTACTTAATAATATATTAACTAATTATTAATTACAATATTTAGCCACTCTTTCAATTAGATACTTTTTTCCAATTTATTTATCTCCTATAATTAATAGAGATCTTAAATGAGATACTGAATTAATCAAATCACTAAAATGAATTCTTTATTAAGCCCAAAGTGTAGAATCAAGATGATTTGATGTTATTTAATCATTTGTTGAATTAATTAATAATTTATCTCTTAATTATTCATTGAAAGATAAAAGATTATATAAATTTAATGCACCCAATGGTAATTTTATAGATGGGCATATCTATAATTTAAATTCTTCAGAATATTTTTAGAATTCTATTTTAATGAATCTATTTAAAAAACTTAAAGGTAATCCTTTTCTTCCTTCTCCACATGTCATAGGATTTTAAATAGCAAATAATTTACAATTTTAATGTACTTATATTATTTAACCTAATTCTGGTATGAAAATCTCTCTTCTATGATCTAAAATAGAATTTAAACCTTCTAAAACGTTTTATGGTGCAAGATTTAAATTTTTTAAAATAACCCAATAACCTTTTTTTAAACCTTCAAGAAGTGGACCAGGTACAAATCTAAATTAACCATTTGATTATTCAGATGATACTTAATATCCTACTAATTTAGAAATTTGATCCAAACTACTATTAGGTTAATCAGTACCTAATAATTCTTATAAATCAGATTATTCATCAAATATTATTTTTACACATTTAATTCCTTTCAATTTAGCAAAATATTAAATTATATGTGTTTTCCCACATTATTATGGTCCCTATATCATAATTGGTTTATTATGAATATTTATAGCTCTTAATAATTTATATGCATTTATTTCAGGAATTAATTATGTTGATTCAAGTTCCATATTTGAATATAAATTATTTCTTATTTAAGATACTTAATCAAGTGCAAAATCTATTGATTCTTAAATAATTATTTATTCATCAGTAAATCCTTTTATTCTTAAATTTTTTATATGTTCAACTATTTATAATAGATCTCTAAATGTCATATCTTCATGAGCAAGAAGTGTATCACAAATTGTATCACAATGTAATTATTCAAATTATTATACAATAGAGTGCATCTCATTTTTAGATAATGGATTAAATACAAAAATTTCAGTAAATCGTGATCTTAATGCTGGAGTTAATTCTTTTTTTCCCCAATCACCTGATGGATTCATTGCTGCTATTATAACAAATGTTTTATGAGCTTAATAAAATTAATCATTAACTGTCAATGTAGCTGGTTATTCTAAACATGAATTTAATCCTTCTAATACACTTTCTGGACACATATTTACTTCATCAATTAAAAATACTCCACCTTCTTTAAAACATTTTAATAATGGACCATCTTAAAATTAAAAAGGACTATTTGAATTTGAATCTCTTGATGGTCTTAAAGCCCCAACAAAATCAGATAATTCTAAATATTAATGACAAACAATATGCTAATTTTATAAATTTAATTTATCAGCAATAATAGTAGTTAGAGTAGTTTTTCCAATTCCTGGAGGTCCTACTAATAAAGCAGGCTCATTATTTTATATAGATTTTAAAGTTAAAGCAGTCATTCTAATAAAAGATTGATTCCATTAAATATTATATTTAGTACTAAATTCTATTAAACCACTATTTTTAAGTACATCATAATAGTATTATTCAGGATGCAATTTAACTTTAAAAATAGTTTCAATAATAGTTTATAATTGTTTTCTTAATTGTAAATCTCTAACTCTTTCAACAATTAAACAATAACCTTCCATAGCAGTAGATTCTTTACCACTTCCAGCATTTTTCATTCTATTTCCCCATTTAATAAGATCTCTTAATGTAACCATACCCATAAATAATGATTCACTAGCTCTAAATAGATTAATTTAAACTTAAGTTGATCTAACTAAAGGAATATGTGTTTCAGGAAGATATTAACATCTTGTTTTGAGAATATTTGTTAAATCTTCAGTAGAGATTTCTTCTACTTAAATTTCAATAAATCTATTTCTAAATGCTTTTGATAATTATTTTCTACCACTATAAGTTACTGGATTCTATGTTCCAAAAATTCTAAATCCTGGATGTGGTTTAAGAGTAGTTTATGTTTCTGGTAAAAATAATTCTTAATTATCATCTAATAATCTATTTAGATTTTCTAAAATTTCACTTCTAGCTAAATTTAATTCATCTAATATTATCCAGTCTCCTTTTCTCATTGCAGTAATTAATAATCCATCAACAAATTATATACTATTACCTACTTAACTATAAGTACCAAAATATTCTTCTAATTATGTATTTTAATGATTATTTATTCTATGACATCTTTGACCACAAATTTTAGCAATAAAATATATTAATGAAGTTTTACCACCACTTGTTGGACCCTCTAATAATATTGGTATACCTGTTCCTGATATACATCTTAAACAAGATAATAAATAACCAAAATTACTTGGTGTTATTAAATATTCACATTTATCTGGTGATATTGGTTATTCTTATCCTCGAGGTAATTAAAATCCATATATCTCTATATATTAATCTAATATTCTATAATTTTATTATTATATCTATGGAGTAAATTATTTATAATCTAATCCATTTAATTATAATTATTAATTAAATAAATCTTAAGAATCTTTTCCTAATCCACTACCAAATGCTAAACATAAACCATTAAACATTGCTAAATTTTAACTTTTTGACTTTGAATTTCTAAAATAATGTAATGCTCTTGCTAAATTTCTTAATGAAAATGTTTATAAATTAAATTAATGCTTTTTACATATCTCTTTTAAATTTAAATATAAATCTGCTAATTTTATTACATCAAATGAATGACCAATAAGACCTTTAATAAAATCTATTATATCTTATTTATCTAACAATTCATGACAAAATATTGTACTGAACTTATTCTTTATATTTACTGGTAATTCTTTCTTTCCAACATCTGTACCAGGATTCATACAACCAAATATTCTAAAATTTGGATGAATTTTTATTGGATTCTCATCTCCTCTCTCATAAAATAATAATTAAGTTTTTTCTATTGCTGGCAATATTTTTTATAATAATTCATTATTTGCTAAATTTATTTCATCTATCAAAACCCAATCTCCCTTTTACATGGCTTTTATAAAATTACCAGTTAAAAAATAAAAACTCATTTCTTATACTGAACTTCTTAGATTTTTTAATAATTTATTCATTTTCTCCTTTAATTTATTATCATTAACTTTTGTTAAACATTATTATGTAGTTTCTATCATACATTTTACAAGCATATTAAACTTCTTTGTAACATATAATTTTTAAAGTGAATTTATAAATTATTAATTCTTTTTACTATCGACTGTTCTTGTAAAATATTTAAGAAACTTTGTATAATTTATTTTAATTAATGTTTCTTAATTTAATGGTCTAAATCCACCTATAAGATCTTAGCAATCTGATCCTTCTGATAAATTATAAATATGTAATTTCTTTCCTAATAATTAAGCACAATGCTAAGTTAATGTTGTTTTACCACATCCTGTATCACCAACTAAAAGACATGCTTCATCATTCAATATACATGTCATTATTTATTCTAATATTCTGCTTGAATATTAGTTATATACAATCAACGATTAACAATCTTCTTTTATTTCTATCTAACCTAATTTACTAAATTCTAAGTAATTATCATATCTCTATAATAAAGTTGTTTGTCTTAATTAATCTAATTAAAACACTTATGATAAATCTATTTTTAACACCTCCCAACATTCCAAACATAATTTAACTCTTACTTATTCAGGAATATAAATTTAATCTTCATAATCTTTTAGATGATATTAAAACCTATTTTTTAATTTATATAAATCTTTCAAATCAAATTTTTATTAACTATTTTAATACCATTCAAGAATTTCTTTAAAATATCTGCAGTTTATTTATTTAAGTTTATCAAAACTAACTGCTTCCATAGTTAATACATACTCATCTTCAATTATATCTTTTTATAATGCAATAACTTTCAAATTCGATATTTCCTTTTTTTATCCATTTACTTCAACATATTTTAATTATAAAGCTCTTCTTAATTGTTGTTTGAAATCTTCACTAGTTTCTGAATAATTTTTCAATACTAAATAAGCTCCAATATTTTCACAAAACAATAAAGGTCCAGCCTTATGTGTAAATACTCCAATTTATTCAGTACATACAAATTAACCCACCAAAGATTAGAAATCAATGGTTTCATCCATGTATAATGTTAATTCTTTTTATTTATGAAACTCAAAATAATATTTAAGTAATGTTGTTTTGCCACAACCAAATGGACCACAGATAAAAATAAAATTAGTTTAATCAAGCATATAAGTTAATTCATCCAATTTAATTTTATCTACCTAAAAATCATTTCCTGTATTAACCCTTTTATTTTATTATGTAAGTGCAAAAACATGTTTGATCTTTCTATTTTTTAATCTTTGGTCATAGAATTCTTTTTCAAGAAACAATCTCTTTTCTGGTTCTGCTATTATAATCCCTTTTAATGCTTTTAGATTAAGAGCAAATGCACCATCACCTATAGGAGTACAATTGTCTAAAACATAGCATATTAAATAGGAATTAGGTAAAGTGTTTAAAATTTAACTCTTAAGTATGTTTCGGAGGCTTGGGAATCTTTAGAATAAATAAGCAATAACAGATTCTGATTGTTGTTTGCATTCTTATCTAATCAAATTCCAATTCTCCATAAATTAAAATATAAAATATATATGAGAATCGAAAAATGTTATTTTTGTTCAGGTCCTATATATCCAGGTCATGGAATAGTGTTTGTCAGAAATGATAGTAAAGTATAAATTATAAGAATAATAATTAGATGTTTAGATTTTGTAGATCAAAATGTCATAGACACTTTAAAGCATAACATAATCCAAGAAAAACAAGATGGACTAAAGCTTTTAGAAAAGCTGCTGGAAAAGAGATGACTAATGATAGTATCTTTGAATTTGAACAAAAGAGAAATGAACCATTAAAATATAATAGAGATTTATACATTAATACAGTTTAAGCCATGAAAAAAATAGATAAAATTAGATTAAAAAGAGAAAATAATTTTTGGAAAAATAGGTATAATTTTATATTATTTTAAAAAGATTAAGAGCATAAAGGAAATAGAATCTTGATAATGTAGAATCAGAATTAGCTAAGAATATTAATTTAGTATCAGATAAATCAGTAAAAGAAATCATCAAATAAAAAGCAGTTGAAAAAGCTTAAATAAAAGCATAAAAGCAAAAAAAATAGAAAAAATAAGATATGGTTATGGAGGAAGCTTGAGACTTAATTATATGTGTGTTTAAATAAATACAATTTCATAATTTATTCAAAGTTTATGGATTTGCAGTTTGAGGCTTTTTAGTTATTTTATAATGTTTTTGTAATTCAATAAATTCTGTTTCTGGTACTAGTTCTTTCAATTATCTATTTAATCTTAATATTCATTCTTACTCTAATAATTAAATTGATGACTATTAATGTATCAATTTTAATTTTTATTACTTATTGTTGATTTCAGATTCCAATTTTTATTTAGAACTCAACACATAAAATAAAACTTTTTCTTTATCATTTTTTTATTATTCCAATCTCTTTTAAACATTCAAAGATCTCTCTAATAACAAATCTTATTAACTAAACTTATGATAAATAATAAAAATTACTTATATTCTTCTTCTAATTTCCTATTTCGATAATGATTCTCTTTAATTTTAAGCATTTACATCTCTTAATTATTTTATTTCTTCAAGTTTACTCATTTTAAGTTTCTTAGTATTTTCTTCCTTATTTTATAATTTTTCTTATAATTTTAATTACCATTGTCTATTCTAAATAATATTTAAAATTACTTTTCTTCCTCTTATACTAATTCTAAATTTTATTAATGTTTTTTCAATTTATCTTTTCTTTCCTTAGACATTTTGCTTATGTCTTTTTTTATTAAATCTTCATTCTTTTTTCTTTATTCTTCAATAGAAATCATCTTCTATCCAAAATTATTACACAATTCTTATTCCCATATTGCTTTTGATTATGCACTTTTTTCTTAAACTCTCATTAATTATTATTCATATCTTGATTATTTATCTTATCTATCTTTAGCTTATCTTTCAACTGATTTAACTCTATTCTCTTCTGTTTATGTTTCTTTTCTAACATTTTACAATTAAGTTTCAGATTATTCATGTTTCAATATTGATTTTCTAAATAATATTTTTTCTTCTAATTTTCTATTTTTTTCAATCTTTTCCATTATTATTGAAGATTTCTTATTTGCGATATTATTTTCTCTAATATAATTATGTAAAAGTACTTTTAATTCAATTTGACTTGAATTTCCTTTGCTTTTGCTATATATTCTTCTATTTATTCTTCTTTTATCTTTTTCTAACTTTCACACTTCTTCTATGCCTTTTTATTTTATTATTAAGCTTTTATTTTTATCTACATTATTTTTCCTTATTTAATTTAAGCATTCTTTTCTCTCTTTTCCTATGACATATATTCCCATTGTCTTCTATCTAATTCATATAACAAAGCCTCTTTAACTTCAACATTATTTAAACTTAATTATCTCTATCTTTCTTAATTGATTTTGCCAATTTTATCATCAATTGTTATTGTTTAACATGGAAAACGACTTGTTGAATGAACACTATTTAATTAAATATGTTCATAACCACGTAATTCATCTTCCTCTTACTATTTTTTTAAAAACCATTATTTTATTTATTTTCTTTATTCTTTCAGTTCCATAAAATCATCTAATTTTCATTACGTTAAAATACTTAATAATTATTCTAAATAATTCTCATATTCATAATCTAAAGAATTTTAATCCAATGATTTATTATTTCTTTTGTTTTTATATTCTAATTCATTATGTTTTTCAAACTTATTCCTTAAATGTAAAATATAATAATTAACTTTCTTCTAAAATCATATTTTGTTTTATTCATTTTTTACAATGCTTTCTATGTTCTAGGTGAATCAAAATTTGTGTTTATTTCAAAATCCTATATCTTTGCCAATAAATCCTTTTAAGAACTAAGTTTATGAAATTTAGTTTAAGTAAAAAACATTAAATTTAATATTAATTTTCATAATACAATATTTACTCTCCTTTAATAACTCAATTTAACTTTTTTTAAATACTCCCAAGATTATTATTTCTTTAAAAGTGGTGTATTAGTATTCAAAAGTATACAGATATTATAGAAATCTATATATTCTCAATATTTGTTTGTAAGTTTATCATTTTATTAGAAATTCATTTATGTTAAAAAGGTAAGTATTTTATTAATTAATTAAAGCATCATATCATATGCATATATGCATGATGATTTAATAAATTATTACTAACATCAGTTTCCTAAATTTTTGTTTAAATAATGTAGTAATTTAAAAGAAGCTTCATTTGATTAAGTTTATATAAACTCCACTATTAACAAATTTAATCAAAGAAGTTAAATCATTGATAAATAGAGTACATGCTCATACATTATCTATTTTCTAGTCCTTTCTCCGCTTTAATTATTAGTTACTAATTCCTATATAATGTTAGGTTTCTTATGTTATTATTAATATTCTTAAAATGTCTTAAAATCAATCAAATTAATATTATTCCAATATTTTTTTTTATTGCTTTTTATGGAACTATTATAATGTGCATTTAACTTTGATATTCTATCTAATCTACTTTTATAACCAAATATGAGAATCTATAACATCTACTTCATATTATTATTAAAATTAAAAAATTATTTATTTTAATTAGAATTCTATTTAATTTTTTATGAATTCGGTCTACTAAATGTAGTGTCATTTTTCTCAAAATTATTTCTTATATTTTAAATGAGGCATATTCTAACCTCTTATTTTTAAGTTACAAATCAGACTTAACATTTTATGACTCCTATTCAAAATATTTTCTTATTTTTACAAAGGATTTTCATTTTTAAATATTTTTTTTTCAGGATTGATCTCTTAAAATTATATTCTTTATCCAATTTATCAGGTGAATTCATTTATATTCTTTTATGTCCAGTTTAAAAACATCCTTTATAGTACTTGAAATTATTTCTGATGCTTTTCCTGTTTCTCTCTCTTTTTTTGTTTATTCAAATTTCTTAGGATTTGTTATTATCTTTTTAACTCTTACGATCTAATCTTTTTTCTATTTGGTAATCTAGATTAAGAATCATTTAAAGAACCAAAATCTTAATCAAAATTCTTTGCTATTTTTTAATCTTTCAAAGATTCTCAAACTGTAAATATTCACCTATTTAAAAAATCATATAATAATAATAATATTTTATAAATATTCATAAATTTACTATTTTTAACTATAAAGATATTTCATCTAAACTCATCTAATTTGATTATCCTTTATCAAAGAATTTTCTCATTATTATCTCTCTTTCAAAATCATGATTAGAATCAAAATCCTAAAAATTCAATTAATCTATATTCTCCTAATTTTCTTTTGATTATTATTTCTTTTTCTTCTATTATTCTTCAAATTAACATTTCACTTTTTATTTAATTGCCTCTCTTTAAAATTCATCTATCACTGATGCATTAATATTCAATTTAAAATCATATCTTGGTTCAAATACTTCCATTATTTATTTTGCTCTCTAATATTCACAAAATGCTTCATAAATTTATAAATTATTTTCTTTTAATATATATATCTCTAATTCCTATTTTTAAAATTATTAGAAATAAAATAAATCCTAATAAATCAATAATTAATAAGGTCTATATAATTATTATGGGCATTGTAATAATTTCAATCCCATTTACATTACATTTTATATCTTGTAAATCCAAATGAAATCTTATTCATCCTCTGGATATTTCATTTTTCTACTACTCTAATAAATCTATTAATTTATTGATAACTTTTAGAGAAATGAATAATAAATAATACAAAACATTTTAGGTTTCAAATTATGAGAGTCTGCCTAATTTGCTGCTTCAGTATTAATTATCGGATTTTATAATTTTTAATTCATTTCTATTCTAGCCTTTCTTTTATCTCCTATTTTCTCACCTTTCGTCTAAGTTTATTATTATTAAATTTGCTATTCTTATAATTATTAAGGAATATAACTATTTGTACTTTGTTCTGTTATCATTCTTTCAATTTAAATAAAACTCTCTCTATTTTCAGTCATTAATCTATCTAACCAATAAATTGGAGCCTATCTTAATTACTCACAAATATCATCATTCGAAATATTTGAATGAATTACTAATAATAAATTTAATAAATTTTCTGGCTTTGGATCCATTGTTACAAGTGCTTCCCGCTATCTTAACAAAGTGAAAATTCCAATTGGTTGATTACATAAAATTTAATTAAAACCTTTTATAGCTACTTAAAGCTCGTTTGTTGTTGTAGGTTTTAACAGCTTCTATAATGTATATTAAACATCATCTTTTGATTTAAAGAGATTTGTAAATTTTTATAGTAACGACATTTATTATTAATAAAATAATATTTTGCAATAAATTTTCTTTATTTAACAAAAACTTAATATATTATTTAATCTAAAATAATATAAATAAAACATAAGTTATTGAACAAATTAAATAACGATAAAATCAATTTTTGTTAATTCAGTAGATTCTTAAAAGAATTATGTGTTTCAATAAAGAATCTCTTAGAAAATAAATTTAAGTTAGTTTTGTTAAATATTAGAAGACGAATTCAAGAAGAAATTTTATAGAGATTTTAGTGGGTAGGAAAAATAAATATCAATAAATAAATATAAATAGAAAAAAATATCCTTAATTTAAAGATTATTGAATACTTTAAAATTTTTAAAAAACACTTAATTATAATCTTAATCCATTTCAGAAGGATATAAAAGGCCATTATCAATTATTTTATTATTACATTTCAAGGATATTAATTACTAATTTCTTTAATTAGGACTTGAATATATGTTTTTCATAAGCATATTTTAAAATCCTAAAATTTTAAGAATTTAAATTGTAATAATAATTGTATAAGGAATTATTTTTTATAATTAAATTTTTTTTAAATGAATAGTACTTTAAATTCAAGATGCATGTTATCTTCATTATATAAAGGCTAAGAGTATTTTGGAATGTTTTGGATAGATTGGAGAGCTCCAATTTTATAAAAAAAACTCAATTTTGAATAAACTTAGCCCCATAAAAAAGTAATTTAATCTACAAAAGATGGAGAAATAATTAAAATGTATTTATTAGCTTTATTTATCTAGTGATTAAATGATTAAAATGACAAGAGAAATTGCAATTGAAAATTATTATTGCTGGATATGCAAGTATATTAATATAATATTATCAATCAATAGTTTAGCAAAATATATGGATTAGAAGAAATAAATTAAATAAATCGATATATAAATGTTTTAACTTAATAATTTTTATTTATAGATATGAACGAGACAAGAATAAGTTTGGTTAAAGAAATAATAAATGTAGAAATTTTTACTCAATCCAGGTTTCCAAATAACTATAAGAAAAGGTTACCTAATTCTAACACTTCCCTTCTTAATAACAATTAAATTGGTTTAAAAATTATAGATTGAATAACCTGTATAAATATAGCAGTACCAAACCTGTTTTTAAAATGTAAAAATAAAATAAGATTCTAGGAGTAGTGGGTCATTGAAGGAGTAACATAAACATAATGATATACAAAATGAGAAATTAGGAAAATCTTATGATAAGAAGCTTATTTATAATGGTGAATACAACACGAATGGCATAAAGATAGGAAAATGGGATATTTTATATGAGGGATAATATATGTAAACAATATAAGTCTAATTCGGCTTAGTGGCGGTGGGTCATTTGATAACTTTTTGGGGATTAAGATTGGATAGTGGACAGAATTATGGAATGATATGATTTCTATCACTTATAAAGGTGATTACAATTTGAAGGGTGTAAAAACAGGTAGATGGACTATTGTCTTAGATGGATAATAAATGTAAATATTGTAAGTTTAGTTGTGATAGTGGTGGTGGATCATATGATGATTTTTCTGGAATAAAGATTGGAAAGTGGGTGGAGTTGGATGAAAAGTTTTATGAATAGGGCAGATAACTCACATATACTGGTGAATATAGTTTGAATGGCGCAAAGATAGGCAAATGGGATATTTTATATGACGGATAATATATGTAAACAGTATAAGTCTAATTCGGCTTAGTGGCGGTGGGGCATTTGATAA